GTTCGCTAAGATCTTGCAGGTTTGCCAAGACCTTGCAGGTTCTTGCGACCGGCTGCTTTGAGCATTTTTGCCACCAATTAGCGTCTATAAAGCCATGTCAGATTGGTCTCACATTTATAACAGTTCAGTAAGAATACTCATTCCTCATGAGAAGTATATTCCCACCAAGCACTGCAATGAGACGCCACGTATGGGGTCATAAGAATTTTGCTTTTAAGGCACCTGTCATTGCGAAGTCTGCTGGCAGATGTTTTTGGACGCATGGCTCAAGGAGTATGGTGGGGCTGTTAGGTTAAGGCAAAAAAGGTCCATAGTCAGAGCTTAGAATTAAAGAGTCTGTTTTTTATATTTACGGTGTGCAGTCTGACCACATACTGACTGATAATTTATGTCACTGCTATCTTGGTCCCTCTAAACTTTTAAATGGCCTTAATTTTTGCCGATTGCTTTTCCTACATTTTAAAACCTTTAACTTTTTACTTTTACTGTGCGTGCATCAGTCTTTTGGCAGTTATTCTCATCCTTCTTTCCACTACATCTCTAGAAGGAGATTAGTTCAATACCATTAGGAATGAGGCTGTAGCAACTAAATATAAAAAAGGTACATTGCTGTTAATAATTTGTGAATGTACTGTAGTTTTCTTCTAAAGACATTCCGTTCAGTTGCACTGAATTTTGTTGAATGCTTTCCGTCTATTGAAGGCTAAATACATTTCCAAAACCTAGTTTTCAGATTTTATCTAACAAACAATTAAAAGCAAGAATCATGATTCTTCCACGACTCACTATGCAATACTTTGCATTTGTCTATCTCATCTAATATCATGCCAAATACAAAAAAACTGGGAAATGTGATACAAGGCTTTAATAAAAAATTATGCATATCTTTTTATACAGCTGAAAAAAGTCATGTTTATTATGTTTAGATTCAGGCACGTACATGTTTTGGATGTAATCCCATGGAGCACAACCAGTCCTGGTAGCATGGGGGGGCACACACATGCCCTAGATAGTTTGAATCTAATCTAGGCCATCCTCGTTTCCCCTTAACACGTGACAAGCACTGCAGGTAGAATGCTGTGGCACATATGCAACAAGCATGTCCCCACATTAAAACACACTGCAACCAACACAAGTTAAAAGATTGCAAGAACATCAAGCATGGTAGAAATGGAAGCGCTGCAAAATATGTCTAGTCCCTCTGCAACAATTCAAGGGGAATCTTTTTAAGAAGCGAGCCATGGGAGAGACTGGCATTAATAAGGAGAATATGAAAAGAGAAAGAGAGAGAAAGGGAGAGAAAGAGAGAAAAAAGTAGAAGGAAGTGTGTATAGTGAGGTAACTCAAGGACATTTTCGCTGCTGCTATGCTTTGCTGCTGTAGAGCATGCTGCAGACTAGCAAGAGCTTTCTTTTTGGTTGGTGTTATATAAGACCTTACTGTGACAGAGAGACAAATACACACCAAATCCAAAGAGACTTATCCCATACAAGCACATTCACATTAACTAGGCAACGTGCACATACAAGCAAAGACACGCACACTGATCGCATACACAGGCAGGCAAATCCACATACACACTTGTAATCTTCAATTCAGGGCATGTAATTTTAAATTCACACTATGCTCTCTTTAAATTCTACTGCAGCTACCCACAACTCATTTGGCGCAAACATAGAGCAGGGCACAACAGGATAAATATATTGTATAGTAAGTTTGATCAGAAACCAGTTGGTTTCTGATCCAAACTAGAAAATGGTTGAATTCTAAAGTACCTTGAGATGACATTTCTTGTGAATATATAAAAAAAACTAAATTGAATTGAAAAATTGACCCATTAATCGTTTTAGTGACCTGTTTTTGTTTTTACAGATCTGTAAACAACCTTATTAGCTTTTTGGGAGTTGAATAAATAACATGGTTTGTCTTTACTCCAGGAAGTTACTGTATCCCAGCAAACATATTTCTGCACAAGATCAGCATATGGAAAAAAGCACGCCATGGCCCATTCAAGGTATCTACTCCCTTACTGACCAATTTCGCTGGTATTCTGTCATAATGTTTGGCTAGACAAATGCACCACTAGCTCCACAAAGTTTGGAAAGACAGCATGTATTTTCTTCCTTTACTCTGTGGATAGCATAATCATTGATGCTAAGGGCTTGCATAACAAGTACCAAAGGGCGACAGTGGTGTTGGGTGTTGAAGTTTGCCCTGAAATCGAAGGGTTGATGGTTCAAGCCCCGGCTCTGACTTTCATTGTCGTTGTGTCCTTGGGCAAGAAACTTCACCTGGATTGTCTACTGATGGTGGTCAGAGGGCCCGGTGGCACCAGTGTACGGCAGCCCCGCTTCTGTCAGTGAGCCCCAGGGCAGCTGTGGCTACTATGTAGCTTGCCACCATCAGTGTGTGTGTGTGAGTGAATGACTGAATGTAGTATAAAGCGCTTTGGTCACGTCTCCTAACTTGAAAAAAGGCGCTATATAAGTACATGCCATTTACTATTTACCATTTCACAAGCATGCAAGAAGCTAATAAACATTTGATGCTTTTGACTCTTAAATAGTTAATAGTCAAGTTAAATTATTTTACTACTGTTATTGAAAACTATTTAAAATGAAATTCAGTTGGAATTCATTCAGTTCAGGTCAATTAAGTTAAATGACCTTTTATTCAATCAAAATAAATAGTTTTTCCTTTTAGTTCACAGTTTTTATTGATTTTCTTGACCTGTTTGAACAAAGTGGCAACCACTCAGTCTTCATCATCAGGATCTCAGCAGAGCAAAAAGCACTTCTTGCAAATCAGTTAAACAATTCTTTTTAGTTTGAAACATTTCCAAACCCTTTTGCAAAACAGTTAACACAGATGTCATTCAAGCAGTCCAAACTCCATTTCTCTAGCTATGTTAGCCAAACAGAAACCATATATTCCCTGCTCTTAGAAACTTCTTGATCGGTATAAAATCACTGAAGCATCTGTTTGACACTTCTTCACGCAACTTTTCAATTTGCAGTCAGTCTGCAGGCCTTAAAAGATGCCAACCTCTGCAAAGTGAGGCGACGTGGGAGGAACCTCATTGGGCATAGGGCCACTATTAAAGTTCCAAGGCAGAGGCGCACTAACATAACTATGTGTGCTGCTATTTCCAATGATCGTGTCCTCTGGCATATCCCACTGTAGTACTGAGCACCTCATTGCATTCCTTAGCACCTTGCATGACAGGCTGATCCCACCTCTTGAAAGAGGGCTGTTGAGGCTTGGTATGCCACTGTTTGTAATAATCTGGGACAATGTGACATTCCACCACCGTTGTGTAGTGAATCAGTGGTTTGTGGTACACCCTAGAATGATGGTGTAATTTCTTCCCCATTACGCTACATTTTTAAATCCTATAGAGGAATTCTTCAATGCATGGAGATGGAAGGTATATGATCACTACCCCTATGAGCAGATGCCCTTGCTCATCACAATGGCCAGTACTGCACAGGATATAGATGCAGAGGCATGTCAATTATGGATCAGGCACGCTAGCAGATATTTCCCTAGGTGCATTGCAAGAGAAATTATTGAGTGTAATAAAGATGAGGCTATGTTGCCTATTTGTCAAGAGAGAAAAGAATGGAAGAGACAGAAGGGTATCACTTATGCCTATCTCTTGCAGTTTAGTTTCATTTTCCTAATTTTTTATACAGTGATTTATCTTATATTTATTTCATATTCTAAATGTATTTTCTAGGGCTGTCAAAGGTATTGCGTTATTATTTCATTAACAAATCAAAATATTATTGCTGTAATAATTTTTGTTAGGTTAACGCGGAGGGCGTTTTCTTTGTGCATGGACAGTTCAGTCAGTCATGCAGCAGCATTGGGGCGTGAAGCCAGAAGGGCCCCACATTACTGCTTGGGGCTGCAAGGAAGAGAGAAAGGGAAAGAGACTTTTGTAGTGGGGAATCGAAATGTAAGCGCTGTACCAGAGCATAGTGTTGTGGTAAGAGATTCCACCCCACGCTCAGAGGTTGCTGCTGCAGCCACAGGATCAATTCTGACCCTCAAACAATTTCTTAATCTTGTATGTTTTTGTCTCTTCTGCTTTGGAAATTCATTTTTAAAATGTGATTATTGATCTGTTAATTCCCCAGTGTCATATGATCATACTATTAATGCCATAAAACATTTTTCATCATTTGACAGCTCTAGTATTTTCCTTTGTTCCCCATAATCTGGAAAAAAACAATGTATGATAAATAACATTTGCATCACACCGTATCTGTTTTTTTGGAAGAAGGCCAATTTGACTACAAATGACACTGAAATGTCAGCTGCGTACATCCATTGGCTGCTGCACTGACTCATACTGAGTGCTGTATTTTGTATTTTGTTGCCTCTTGCATAATGAGTGATTGAAAGCACTCATTAATTTGTGGGCAGGTTGTGCTGCTTAAGGGCAAAATGTGCTTTTGGTCTATATTTTAAATGTTTTGGCAGGGTTAGACTCTTTTGCAAAAACACTGTATCATTATGACCATTGGTGCCACTGTTTAGGCCTCTGCGTTAACTATGTATATTTTGAATTGAGCGCTGGTTCAAAGCAATCTATAAATACTATACTTTTACTATCAACAATAGTGAATTGCAGCAAATTTAATCACAAGAACCTTTACAAGTAGTTTGAATTGCAGATAGATTGAAGGCTGGTAATATACTAGTGAGATTAATTCACTCAATTATAATAAAAGCAAATTAACCTTTTAGTTACATATACATGACTGTCGATTTTATCTTAACTTGGGAATGTCTTTCCTTTAGATGACCCCTGTAGGCTTTGCAGTTGAGTGATTTCAGTTCTGAAACCCACCATACATAATAGTGAACGCTTGGTGTGTAATTATTGTTAATTCCAAGCGACATTTCCAGGGGCAGATTTGGAACTTTGTGGTGACTGGCTCATTTTTTTTAGGCACAGATGTTTGTAGGAGAGAGGAGAGTCAACAACTCACCAAAGACAGTTCTGGCAGGGACAGACTCTCTGTTGAGCCAGAAGGACACTTGGGAGAGAATAACTGTCATGATGCAGGGTAGATATGTCTGGATCACAAAGTAACCTATTTTTCTCTTCAGGAGGAAGTGGGTTGTCATCACGACATACTCTCCTGTTTTCAGAAAGATAAGAAACAAAGAAAAGTTAAAAAAAAAAGCTCTGAGTTCAAAGTTGAAGAAAAAGACCAATAGGCAAATTGCTGAGAAATAACAAACAAAAGTGAGCTTTAAGTGAAATTCACAATGCAAGGTTTATAAAAGTAGAAAAAATAGACATAAACACACCTTCAGATTGATAGTGCAAGGGCAAAAATCAGGTCAAAGGCTAATGGCTATTATATTTTCAATTTTAGAAGAAGTTGCTTTAATAGAGACCATGTCTAAAGGCTGTTTGTACCTAGTGACAAAACTATTGATTGATTGACACTGATCTCACACTGGAGAGATGTACTTATTACATAAACTCAAATAGTCTAAAGCGAAAAAGGTGCCAAAGGAAGAAAAAAGTGCATGGAATATATACAGTAAATACAATGCATCCACATATGACAGCTTAACAACAATTAAGTCATACTGTAGCTGTAAAGAAGATATCATGACTGAGTACCAACCTAAATATACCACAGTTTTTTTAAGGAATCTGTACTGAAATTTATCTTCTTTGGTTCCAAATCTTAAAGATCGATTGAGCCGGAAACCAATAACTTTATATTAAGCTAATGTTCTTTTTCCTGATTTTGTTTCTGATAACACATAAAAGGCGCAATTTGAAACTCTCTTTTTTATACTGTTTTTGGGCCATTATGGAATCAAGTCAAAGGATGCAATGTATATGGACTAACATCAAATGTATTGTTCTATATAATTTCTCTGATTATCTTTAACAGTTTGAGATTTGTAAAATAGTAACTCCAACCTATGACATATTTTCCAAAAATATCTATAAAATGTCCTCTAGTCTTGTATCTGTCTGTTCTTCCTAAGGTGTAAGAGTCAAGTCGTTAAGTATAACATCTTTGTGTTAAACTAGTCGGTGTGGGTGTGTGTCCTATTCTATCAGTACTGCTTCATTTACTGTACAGCTATAAAATTGATGTACTGTAGTGTAGATAGGAAAAGTATAATTCAATAAAATACTGTTTAATGTATGCTAACACATTTTTCCTGGATATAATCATTTTTTGCAATGAAATAAGAAATTATATTAAAAACTAGATTAAATCAAACAAAACTTGGAACATGACATTACTTTTGAACTCAAAAACATACCTGTGCTTGACTGCACCACACCAGAATCCACACTCTGACCCATCAGATCATACTGGTTTAACCGGGAGCCATCTTCTGCCACCACAACAGACTGAGCAGCCCCTCTGGTCCATACGTATACTACCTCTGCTCTAGTATAGGCATCTGAGGACCAAAAAAGTATTATTCTGGATTATGGATTATTCTGGCAGACTCTTGACAAAGCTTTAGGGTAGTCCAAGTAAAACTAATAATGTTACAGTTTTTTTTTTCCTTTAATCATCTAATCATATCTTTTATCATCTTACATAATATCTTATTATTTTAGATATAGAATTGTGCTAAGCCACTTTCTGCCATTCCCCTTCTTTCATCAAAATAAGAAAAAATGTTTAAATAGAATAATGTGACCTTAAAGCTGCAAAGTCAATCAGTTTTTTTTTCCTGTTCTGGCCACCCAAGCTGTCAAAGCTGCAGTGTGCCTCGACCACTGCAGAGGAAAGGATAACTCAGCTGCAGACTGCAGAGCAAGGAAGAGAGCTCATCACTAAAATATTTAGCGAGTGAGTTCAGTTTAAAAGCGTTTAAGGCTTAGTATTCTCACACATACTGTGTAGTTGTGTGAGAAACTGCAAAGAGATAGCGTGACTCACATAGCTGTTGCCTTAATGTTGTTTTCTTTCTCTTGCCTCTCAAAACTTATTTGGCAAATCACATTTCAAAGTTGCTCCTATCATTTTCACATTACACTTTACGTAAAATGTTCCCTCTTAAGTTCATTCTACATAAATCTTTTCCACTGATATGTATTGTTAAGAAAGATTCAGGGCAAATTCAGCTGTCGGCAGTGAACAGCTGGTGTGACGCCCTGGTAATATTAAAACAGGTACTGTAAGCTGCAATCGTCTTAGAAAAGATGAGCACTTCCTTTCCTTTATCTAAAGGCAGCTGAACGTTATCCAACACAAATATTTATGTTTGTATGCAAGAGGGGTTTGTTGATCAATTTATTTCACTTCACATATAAGATTGCAAGACGGCTACATTCGACTACTTACAGCTGCCAAATTTCAGGGGACAAGCATGGGCATCCATAGGGAAGTCTTCTAGATGCATAGGACATTCTGCTCTTACTGTAAGCCTAGAGCAAATCATAGACAATTTAAAGTTACTATGACAGATAAAATAAAAACCTGCTTTCTCTCTCTCTCTCTCTCTCTCTCTCTCTCTCTCTC